GTAGCATCCCCTGGAATTGATGAACTGACTTGGTAAACATCTTCCTGATTCCAATAAATCACACTCAAAGGCTTAATTTCATGGCCTTTTGAATAATGTGTTAAACCCCATCAACTCGCAATACCTTCTATCTGCATTCTCTGACATAAAGGCACACAAGCTTTCACTGAAGCGATACCTCTTCAAAAGATATGTTCATACCTAAAGGGTCCATATTGGTACTTTGAAGGCGCATACCTAAATTCAAAGCATGTATCATATACCTTAAAGGTGCAATGGGTGATTGACTTCAGAAACATTTTTTTTTTTGTGTAATTGAAAGTCTCTTCACATTTCAATAGCATATTATATAAATGTATTTAAATCTATTTTTATATTCTGAGAAAGACATAAGACTAAAAAAATGTTTGTCCAATTAAAATTTATCAGGTCTATAATTCCCATAATTCTGATAAGAAGCCCAAACTGTCTGTGAACAAATGTTGATTTGAACATCTGTGCACCCCTGTTCACGCAGACAGGTCCGCCATTTGCATGTTCACATGCACACGAGAGAGTGACAGCAGTAAAAGCAAATGTTGAATCAGTACTTTTTAAAATCCCGAATCAATATTGGAGTTACTTTTGCACCCTGGAGAAAGGATGACACCATGGCTGAAGTATTCCTTTTAGGTAATGTTATGTTTTAAAACTGTTTTAGTCATGCAAAGCTTATGTAGGTTTTGGTGTTTGACGAATGGGTTTTATGCACGCAAGTGTTGTTCGGCCACTGAAATCTTCCAGCAAAAGACTGGTGCTACTATTTTCAATTTCATAAGGTCCACAGCATCGATAATACAGATTTTTAATTAGCTTAACCACAAAAAAGTAAATAGCGCTATTTCACCTAGCCTGCTTTACTGAGTTGAAGTTGGTTTTATATTCACATTGGTTCATTTTCGAACAATGGCAGCCTGTGATGCGGTTCCTAAATTGTTTACCATGCTACTTTGAATATTTACTCTGAAATAGTATTTAAGTATGGCTTAGTAAGTGTAAACCTGCAGCTTGCCGGCCAACCGTTAGGCATGTAGTAGCGAGAACAGTGATCCTTGCATGCATGAAATACTGCACATTATTACAAATTTTGCTTGCTACACAACTGAAATTGTGCTAGATATAGTAGTTTTTTTTGTTTTCAGAATTGTAAGATCATAAAAAACCTATAAAGTTTTCTAACTAGCGAATGACATGATCTAGTGGATTGTCCACTGTCATCTTTATGGTGCGCATTCGTGATTTCAGGAGGCATGGCTTTGGATGGCAGGGAAGGGACTGTGTTTTCAAAGCTATTATGCTTCCATTTAGCGTTTTGGCAAATCACCTACTGCACCATTAATGTTCACTATTGTGCAAACATGCAAGTGTGAAAAGGTGATGTCCAGCCACAGTTCATTTTTTATTTTTTATTTTTTTTTAGTCTTGGGGTATTCACCGGAAGTAAACTTCTGCTCAAATAAATTTAATTATCAGAAGGTTGTTTTAGTAATTTTTATTTAAATCTTTCACTTTGGAACTAGTTTTCTCTGCTAGTCAGTTAGAAAGATTGACACGAAAATAAATAAATAAATAAATAAATAAACAAAATAGAATACTGGAAAATGACACGGAGGCTCAGTGAGTAATGCTGTCGCCTCAAAGTAAGAAGGTGCTGGCTCGAGTCCCAGGATCAGTTGACATTTCTGTGTGGAGTTTGCATGTTCTCCCCGTGTTCACATGGCTTTCCTCCGGGTGCTCCAATTTCCCCCACAGTGCAAAGACATGCTATTGAGGTGAATTGAATAAACTAAATTGGTCGTAATGTTTGTGTGTGAATGAGTGTCTTTGGATGTTTCCCAGTACAGGGTTGCAGCCGGAAGGGCATCCACTGGGTAAAACATATGCTGGATCAGTTGGCGGTTCATTCCGCTGTGGCGACCCCTTATGAATAAAGGGACTAAGCTGAAGGAAAATGAATGAATGAGAATATTGGAAGTATACCAAGGTTTGAGGGAATTCAGATCCAGCGCTGGATCTGAATTGCTGAAGGCAGGTTCAATAACATAAATTGAACCATTTCATTTTTTCAAAAGTTGGTCTTGGCCTGGTTACCTTGTAAATGTTCAATGGGTCTCTATGGTGCTGCAGTGTAGACAACCTAAATTTCACCCAGTCTTTATGGACTACTGGAGTGGCAGAGACATTACCGTTAGTTCTCATTACACTAATTGAACTCCGTTTATGGCTAGGCCTTAACACACACATGGAAACTGCTGAGTAAACATCAGTTACATCTGCAGGAACAAAAGCACTAGGAAACCACATTAACTTACATCTATAATATATCATGTTGTTAGTATTACTGGGTAAGAACGCATTCACATATATTGCTGGGGGGAAAGTCTGAAAGATATTCTTAGTCTTGATTTAGAGTGGTTTTACACACTTCACCAAAATCATTTATAAAAATATTAAGTAAAAAAGCTATTACTTTCATGTAGATAGTATTGTAATAATGGAATGACTGTGTTTTTATTTATTTAATGCAGCACTGGGTAAGCCCACCCATGGTGTAATCTGTAAAACACTACTAAGCATAACTTTATATTTAACATCAAATGCGTAGCAGCATGATGGCTTAGTGGTTAGCACTTTTGCCTCACAGCAGGAAGGTCGCTGGTTCAAGTTCAAAAAGGCCAGCTGGCATTTCTGTGTTTGCATGTTCTCCCTGTGATTGCATCGGTTTCCCCCACAGTCCAAAGACATGCGGTATAGCTGATTTGGATGATATAAACTGGCCATAGTGTTTGAGTTTGTGTGTAAATGTAAGAGTGAATGGGTGTTTCCCAGTACAGGGTTGCGGCTGGAAAGGGCATTCGCTTCATAAAAACATATGCCAGAGTAGTTGGCAGATCATTTCTTGTGGTGACCGCTGCTAAATCAAGGACTAAGCCGAAGTAAAATGAATGAATTAATTAAATTCCACTGGACATTACTCCTGCAAAGATAACATTGAGTTTGGCACTACTTCTTTTAAGTAATGCTTCGTTCTTGATACAATTATTCTATCAGATCAATAATAATAGCAGATTGAAAGAAGTCAAGCTTTTTTTTTCTGATGAAAAAAGAAATCAAGCAATACTATTCACCAGGTGATATATCTGGCATGCTGTGAGACCAGTTTTGAATGAGAACAATGACTATGCTCTTCTTTGTGGTGCACTAGCAATATAGCATTTGTAAGCATTAAAGGAATTTTTCAGCGGGGATGTTGATTCTGAAGCCTTTTAGGTCTAACCAGTGTATATGTTTTTCAAGATAATGAAGGTGAAGCAGCAATAATGACCATCAGCATCATCGGATGCTCTTGAATAATGTCTACTTTGACCAAACCTCAAAAACTTTTAGTGAGCTTGGTCATTTCTGGTCTGGAGCCTTTCTTCGGTGGCTCTCACTTTGGGACTTACTCTCTGTTCTTTTGTCTCTCTCCCTCTTTATCTCACAGGTAACTTTATTTTACATTTAAATGGGGTACATTTAATATTATTTGTTTTTGTCATGTTTTATCATTTTATACAGTTAATTTGAAAAAAAATCAATTGTAACCATAGTAAAATATTGTCATTCAATAATTTCATTTTCAAGTATTTCATGAATTACTTTTGATTTAACATTAACATTCAATTTCCCCATATTGCAATGCAATATAGTTGTCACATCCCCGGCTGCACCAATCACCAGTCTCCCTCATCAGTTCGTTCCCTCAGCTCCAATCATCGTTCTCCCTAGCCAATCACCTGCACCTGTTCCCTTAATCAATTCCCCTATAAAGCCTCACCATTTCCCATTATACAAGGGCAGGAGTTGATGTCAAATGGTTCACTTTACCTTTTCCCTGGCTTGCCTTCTTCTGTGGATATTTCCCTTCTCCTATGGATGTTTCTCCTAAACCTGTGGATGCACAAGCTGTGATTAAGAAAAGTGACTATCCTTGAATGAAGACCCTTGTTTACATTGTGAACAACATTCCATCTGCTCATCTTCAGAGACTATCACTTGCCTGCTTCTCCTGTTGATCATTCCACTGTGTGTTTGAATAAATTGATGAAAAGAGATAACCATCCTTGTTTTCATTGTGACCGTAACAATAGTCGCATAAAAGCAACACTCTTGCACACTTTTTAGCTCTTATAACTGCTCTTATTTCTGTTTTTGGTATAAGATTTCAAAAGGATGGTTTAACTGGGAATGTACAGTTTCTTTCACCATCATACTGAACCTTTTTAGTCTTGGCAGAACCACAGTTAGAACCGCTGTAGTAAATCCCATTCTTACAGTTGGTTTGTGTTGTTGACCTCATGTTGGGCAATTATTGTCCCTTTATGTTGATCAATCCTTGTTCAGACTAATATTTTATTTTAGCTTATGCCATTTTATAAATACTGAAGCTGTGAAATGAATCTCTTACCTGCAGTACATCATATCTGCACTTTGCTGATTATAAGAGAATGTGTGAGCACAGTATTCACTGACTGCACACACTCAGCAGAACTCTAGTGTTCGTAGAGAAGACCACAAACATTGCTTTTGTAAGTTTAAAAGAAATTAGTATAATTCGTCTTCAATCTCTAAACTTACAACTGGAAAATGTCCTGCTCAAGATGTGCTTGTGATGGAGGTTTGAATCGATGTGGTAAAACAATCCCAGAATTACTGTCCTACAGTGGACTGAGGAATCCTTCAAAGCTGAAACGGATATATGGTAATTTGCCTTCCACTTTGTGCCGTACACATTTGACCAATCACAGACTGAGCCATCCCAGCAGACACACAACATCATAAGATGATAATATTAGGTTAGATTTAGGTCCCCAGTATTTAAGGAAAGTGTTATTTTGATGTCCAATAATGACATGAAATTTCATTAGGTTAATACTTAGGTTGTGCTGGAAAGTGACTAAAATTCAACTTTGAGCCACACTGTTAAAAATTGCTGTTAATTTACGGCAAAATTTTAACAGTATAATCCTGTTATTGTCAAAAGCAGTATGTTGCTGTTTTTTTACGGTTTTTGAAATGACGTAGACGAAATTTAACATTATTTTACTGTTTTTATCACACCAATGTAAAAAAACAGCAATCAACAGTATTTTTTGAACAGAAGACGTCAGCCATTACATGTGGATTTTCATGCTTCTTTTAACTTTGACTTACTCGGTGAGTGCACCTTTATTTAGCTAATTTTACACAAAATACACATTTGTGATTGCACATAGGCTAACTGGATGCTGATATTGTAACTTTTTTACATCTATTTTAGTTCTAAATCAGTGTCAATGTGCAAACTGCATCTGCATTGAGTGGAACTGGATTTCTGACACAGATATTTCCTGATTACATGGTAAGTCAGACTATGATAATTAAAAATGATATAGGCTATAAGCGTATCTACAAAGTCAGTATTTAAACATATGTAGCAACAAAGTAGTATTGATTTAGGTAGCATGATGAAAAGATTGTCATCTTATAGTTAATTTTAGCTTTAGCTTTTAAGAGCTACCTAATATGGTTTCAATGTAGGCTTTGATAAAACATTTTTCCCCTAATGCTGTGTTTAAAAATGTTACTGTTGTTGGTTTGTATTGTAATGCTACTTTGTCGAGTACAATTGGCTAATCACCACGATAAACTGTTTTATACAGTATGTCCTTTTCAGCGCTGAACCTGTGAACATGTGAACATGCTAACTGCATCATAGAGTGGAGCTGGATTTCTGATACAGATATTGATTTCTGATTACAAGGTGAGTTTAATGAAACATGATAACATGGTAAAGTTATTATTATTGTCTATATGGTATTATTGTCCTAATAACTGAAAATACAATTAAAAAATGCTATGCATACATTATGGTTGTTAATTTTGTCTCTTTCCTCATCATTGTAATTCTTGTCTTAGGCATCTTCTACTGTACCTGATGTAGAAAAGACCCTTGAACTACCTGCAATTCCTTGACTGATACTTTTTGGTATGTTTAGAACTGTATTTTATTACTTATGCAACTAAAGGTGTTTTCTCTGTATTTTAGCAAACATGGTAAATTCTTTTAAACAAAACAAAATACACAAATACATAAAATAAATGTTCTGTCATATTTTACCCAAGCTTTCATTCACCTTTGGAAAACATTATATTAAATTCACTAAATTACTCAATTTTAGTTGTTTAACACATCAGCTATGTTGATCATAAATATTAAGTTAAATAAATCACAAACATTGCAGTGACAATTTCACAATACACAGTATATACACGTTGATTTCAGTGGCTGTCCAGGCGTGTCCACAATCAACATTTTCTAATGCATTTATTGTGTTAAAAGAACAGGGCTTTGAGACTAAATAAAATTATGTCAGCTTCCCTCACATATATTTTCAAATAGGCAGTAGAAAATATAATTTCATGTGACTGCTGACATTGTTTTTTTCTTTTAGATGTTTTAGGAAAAAAAACAGGAAGCTACATTCATAAATGGATGATCAGTTTTGAGGGGCAAATAATCTGAGAGAGCATCCAGCCAAGTTTTCTGTCTGGTATAGCTGCTGTGTTTTCAACTTACGACATTTTCGATGTGGAGAACCAAGCTGAGGCTGCATGCACATTGGAATTAATTCAGAGGTTAGACGCTTAAATTCATATATTTATTTCTCTTCACATTATTATTGTATAAACTTTAACCCACACTAATTCTGAATGTGTGCACTTTTTTAGGAGCTTCATTGGTAAACCCTAAGGCTCCAAGAGTGGACACATCCTATCGAAGGGAATGGGGAAGGTCACCCACAAAATGAATTCAGTCAACACTAAGGTTGCCAGTTTACTTAAAGAAGCTAATGGACTTTGAGTTGGATGTCATATAAGTGTCCCCACACACACACACACACACCTTACACATCCTCTTCACTAATGGCACTCATTTTATTGTGTTAGTCGCGTAATTTTTCAGGTGTATGTTCTTGAATACCTAAACTGTTCATTGCATTCTTTTTTATTTCTTAATGACTAATTCTGTAATTCACTCAGAAGTTTTCAGAGTAGTAATTGTTGGAGTAAATCTACTTGGTTTTCCATAGCCACTAATTTTGAAATATAATAAGTGTAATAATAATTTTGAAGTGTAATAAGATGTAATAAAAGTTAAAGTTACACCGCATTTTTTTATGTTTCCAATAAGGCTATATGTGTGCATTGTATTAAACTGTGTTATTATAACAAATAAAAAATGTATATATACCCATTTTCTTAGCAGTTCATTTCTCAGGATAACATATTTGTAGTTTACAGTTAAAAATTCAAATAAACATTAATTAACCGTTAATTTTGACATTAAATTACTGTTAATGTAGTAAATAACAGCTTTATGCTGTATTTTCTAAAAACAGGAACAACCTGTAAATTTCAACTACAGCTAGATGCTGTTAATTTAACAGTAACTTGCTGGCAACTGTGCTGCCAGTAACTTACTGTTTTTTAACGGGACAATTTTTAACAGTGCAACATCTTAAACCAATATCATATTGACGTCAAATTCTGACATTTATTTATCAAGTATGGCAATCAACATCTGATAGAAGTCATATTGATAACGTCCACACAACCTCAAGCTGTAACATCATTAGACATTGAAATTTGGTTGTTTTAAGATTGCATTGGAAAGTAACCAAAATGCAACATCTGTTTGATGCTGGACTTTGACGTCAGCCTGACGTTGGGTTTTGATATCAACCAAAATTTCACTTCCAAACAAAGTGCAACGACATCAAGATGCAACGTCTATCTGAGGTCATGTTGACGTCATGTGCCTGCTGGGATCTGACCAATCAGAGTAGAGTATATTTGCAGAGGAGTAATTTAAAATACAGTTTTTTTAAGTCAATCCTATGGTGACAAGAGGGCTTAAATACGCTTCTAGTTAAGAAAACACATGTAAATTAAAAATCACTCAAAGAAAAATCTGTTTAATAACACACACACACACACACATTTTCACAAGACATGCAAATACAAAATTGTTCTGCAAATAGCACAGGCCACAATTTAAAAGTGTCAGGATTTCAAAAAGAGACAGGCTGCTGCCTGTTTAGACTTGTTGACGAAGATTAGAAAAACTCCCAGATCTCGCGTATCTCAGTTTGTGTTTTATTTGCACGTGTTTTCCTAACTTGCAGCATGATTGACCTCTCTTGGCCACTGTACAAACCTTTTGAAAAAATGTTACTTTTAAGATAGAATACATTAAATAGGCCACTACATATTAATAAAATACTGGATATATAGAAGCATCTGACTGATCATGTTAAATTTAAGACATTTTACATTCCATAGCATTGGTGTGTGTATGTAGTCACTGTTGTATGCATGTCCTGTTTTGAACTGTATGCCTATAACACGCATTCGACACAATAAATGTAATGGTATACAAATCTAACAACCTAACATTATTTTTTATATATATATATATGTATATATATAAACAAAGCACTCACAGCAGCAATAATAAATGAATCCACTGGGGACATTAATGGTTCATGTTTGATGCGGGCCGTAATGTGTGCTTGACTACATATTCAAATGATTGTTTGCTCAGTCACATGACCAACACCAGCCACGGCAATTCCATAATTATTATTGATTTGCTCACTGGCTGTCAATCTCAGGCCGTGCTCGGAGAGGAAGAAGGAGAGGTGATAGACAGAAAGAGGATTGGACAGTAACCATGCAGCATGGAAACCTCATCTTCAAAATGAGCTGGGATGAGATAGTGCTGGTGGATAAGGGTAATTGATGATTGTCTTAGCGAGGGGATGTAAGGGGAGGAAGAAAAAAAAATGGGAATGGGGGATGCTAGGGGAAGTGGTGGGGGGCGGCTGTTATGGTCAGAGAAAATGAGAGTGAAAAATTCCTTTGTGGTCCTTCCTCCTCTGGGCACTGCTGTGTACTTTATGTTGGAGATCATCTCCAAAATCCTGAAAAACAAATATGCAGGACCTTTGGATTGAAATGTCAGCGCACCACAGGCATTGATTTCCTCCCGAAGTGTCCGAGGCTGCTGGATATTCACCATGCTGATATGAGACACCTTTTCCAGACAGCTGCTGATGGAAACACATGGACACACATACCTGAACTAAGCGGCATCTACCGATAAACAGACTTCACGTGTAATAAAAGCTGCTGTTCCACTGAATGGTACAGTTCGGCTTGGCTCGACTTGCTTTGGTTTGGTTTTGCTCGGTTTGCATTGCCGTGTAGTACTGCATAAAGTGGATGGGATTATTGGTATAGTTGGTCTGTCTCTACTGCTGTGACTTCCTTGAAATCTTTTCAAGGAACCACTGGATTCCTTCCTCAGCTACCAATGAGAGGAATATCTGGAATGCTTCTTCTGACCACATTGCTGCCATGTTTGTCTTTTTCTTGTAATGGCATTAACATTTAGTCACATAAGAGCCAAAAATAAAGCAGTGAGCGCTGTTGACTATTTAAATCTCTCAAATTTAATAAAGCTGAGACTCAATGGACACCTTGATGTCAAAATGACATAAAAAAAGCCTTGATTTTCATTTAAAATCCATACAATGATAGTCTTTTTACCATCAAGTTATGATGGAAAAAAAAAAACTTTTTATATATGAAAAAATAAATATTCATCTAAAAGTTTTCCTACAATGCTTGTAAACTACCTTGATATCAAATTGACATCTAACATTGGCATCAAAATACACGCTTAAAATCAATTACAATACAGTCCTGCAATCAATTTTTGACTTTGCCAATGTTAGGTGTCAATTTTATGTTGTTTTGACATTAAGCTAATCAATTGACCACATATTGATTAGCATTTTAACATGTTTTTGATGTTGTTTAGACATCAAGCTCCCTGCTGGGTAATGACAATTATCTTGGACCAATCTTTAATCAGTGTATACTTCATGCTATGGTAACAGTATGGCTGACCCAGGCTCATTACCCAGTTCCACAGTTCTGTAGACATCGAAATATGTAACCGGAGATGCGTCTGCTCACAGTTTGCGTTTTTCTGAAAATCTACCAGAGGCCGCTGTGTATGGTTTTTGGAGATCACAAATTCCTCTTGCACATCCTCTTCCACCAGAGGGGTGCAATATACACTTCAGCCGACCAAGCCAGCTTACTGTCAATTGAATGACTGACCTACAGATCCACCCACCCACTTTCCTAAACCCAGCTGATATTGTTTTCAAAAGTAATCTAGAAAAAGAAAAGCTGTTGTGGCTGCGTGATTTCACCATATTTTCAGCCTGTTGTTTGTTTATTTATTTATTTATTCATTTGTTTTTTGCTTTACTTAACCATTCTTTGCCGGACTCGAACCCTGTTATCAAGGTCAACAATGCTCCGTGTCCCAAGTCCGGCCCAAGGTTATAGTAGTTTCAGATTTTTCATTATTTTTATTTAGTTTTAAATTCTTTTGGTTTTAATTCATTTTAGATGTAGATTTACTAGTTTTAATATTTTGAAATTGCTTAGTTTTAGTTATTTTAGCTTTTATTATTTTTTTTAATATTAGTTTGTTGTTTTTTTTTTCTAAATAAGCATATTTGTTAGGTGCAAGATTTAAAATGTAAAAAAAAATTAAAACTTCACCAAAGATACATTTTTTGAAACATGTATTCAGAGGACACATGACCACTATCATCCACCACTACCATCTACCCATCCTCCAATATAAATACAACAGCCCACAAGATAACTGCCTTAAGTAAAATATGTGGGCAAGGCTGCTTCTGGGGCACACAGTATTACAGTAGTGATGGGAAGTTTGCATCTTTAACTCGAACCATTATTTTGTGAAAATTCTCCCATATTTGGGCTCAACATACCAGCCATCATAATTCCAGTCCACATCCATGAACTGAAAAAATCTTACGATTATGTTTGGCAACCCAACTGAAGCATAATTCACATCTTTCTGTTAGGGTTAGGGTTAAATAAATGTATGTTTCATCAGATCCTCTCATTTAAGCCCTCGGTTTAACCGAGCTGCAGTTATGTTTTGTAAGTTTAGTTCAGTCACAGCAGGATTTCTTGTACTGTTTGTTTTCGGTTGACCATCTGCTGAATCACGCATGTGCAGTATTATAGGTTCACTGCTTCTTAAATCTAACCTCAGTGTACTGTTCTAATAACTGAATAACTCAATTTATATTGATTTATTTCGAGTCAGAGGGGGTATTAGACATATTAAAAGTGCTTAATGGAGACGTGAATCATTTCAAATGATTAGGTTCAATTTGGTGAACTAGTTCATCCGGTTCACTTAGAACAGAAGTGTCCAATCTTCGTTCTGGAGGGCTGCTGTCCTGCTGAGTTTATCTCCAACTTGCTTAAACACACCTGCCAGGATGTTTTTAGTATATCTAGTGATAGCTTGATTAGCTGGTTCAGGTGTGTTTGATTAGGGTTGGAGCTGAGTTAGAAGATCTGGTTAAAAAGAATGATTTGTTTGTGATTTGCGATCACTAATACAGAAATAGAACCTATTATTAAGCACAAATGTGTTAAATTAATAATTTTAAGTGTCTGTATTTAATGCTGTCACCGTGCTGTTGTCATGTCTACTCGTTGTTTTTGTTGCAGGAGCAACAGCGAGGACTGACTGGAGGAGGTCTGGCTTGAACTGGCCAATGGCATCAGACTGTGAGGTGCCGTACTGGTCAAACATTGGTCTTAGTAAAGTAAATAGATTAACTTCTAAATGCATACAGAAGGTTTACGTATTAAATACATCAACAAAGACAAAAAAGACGGATGTTTTGCTATTATTTTAGTTGGTTTCAATAAGTTTTGTATGCGGCACAGTGGGTAACACAATCGCCTCACAGAAGGTTGCTGGTTTGAGCCCCAGCTGGGTCAGTTGGCATTTCTGTGTGGAGTTTGCATGTTCTCCCTGTGTTGGCATAGGTTTCTTCCAGGTGCCTAAAACTAGGTACAGAACACAGTTGAAAGCATCCAAAAGTAAGTTGTACCAACTTCAGTTGCAATAAAGAAATAAATGATAAAAAAGTGCAGTTTAAATCCAATGTTAGTCAAGATTGTCAATTATGGCAGTTATTTAACTGTAATCACTCTCAATTTTTTTTCATATCTTTGTTGTGATACATGTGTTTAGTTTCAAAGCAAACACTGAGCACTACAGGGATAAAGGTGTGGGTGATTCTTGAGACCTGTTGTTAGTGCTTCTCTCTGCTGACAAAGTGATTGCAGTTCCCAGGTTCCATTCAGAACTAATGGAGCACCATTCTCTCTGCTCACAAACCCAATTAAATCTGGAGATCTCTCACTGATAAACCCAATCCAAGCCGGCTACTGGATCCTTCATCCCTAAATATATATTACAGCTCAAAGTGCGGAAGGAGACGAGAACCTCTCCGAGCATGGCCAGTGGAGAGGATTGTTTTTACTGTCTGTTGATATAAGTGTCTATTGATGTTT